GCGAAAACAGAACAGGTGACGGTGTTATATATATATATATATATATATATATATATATATAAAGATAATAAATTATATCAAATATAATAAAGAAGTAAACCGGATTAGATAAAGAAAATTTAATATTTAATTAAACAGTTTATTAAGATAATAAATTAATCAAATATCATGTTATGTTAGGTTTTAAACTTAAAAATGGCGACGTCAAGGTAATTTTAAGCATAAATTAATCGTCATCAAGGTGAGTACTTTTACCTCTAAATTATGATAACAATATTGTATTTCTTCGAAATCACTCGCATTTGAATATAATTAGTCAAGATAACTTATTACTGCAACTAGATTATGATTATTTTGACTTATTGATCAATTTCATCATATTTCATCATCCAGAAATGAACATTTATGATTTGCATATTATACTTATTTACTATACCTGCATGTTATCAAAGAAATATATTCGATGATATTTAGAATGTAAATGAAATAATTTATAGTATGATTGATGGTACTAACAAGTAAACGCTAATGTACCTGTGCACATAAATGGAAACAAATATTGATATTGTATCATAAGTGATACAAATTTTAAACGATGCTCCTGCGATGGATATATAGATATAAAAAGATATTTATATGATATTGATATAGACTCTTTGAATAGCATGTTAAATATTTATATTCATTTATAAAGAAGCTTATCATTGTTATGTTTCCTTCTACTGTTGTAGTTTAAGAGTATAAGTATTTGTTGAGTTGATTAGCTCATTATTATCTTAAACTAACTTTTCGGTTTAACGAAGGAATTAAAGAAGAGCGATAGAAAGAAAAATATTTATAGAAGAAGCTGATAACCAACAACAAGGAAAATTTAAATATATTGTTTGATTAGTAACTCTTTCATTTAGAAAATGTTAATTATAGAAAATAAATATCAAAAATTTAATTCTCATCATCCGATCGTCTGTTCCTGTCTTTGTTAATCGAAGCTTTGAGTCAAGTCGTGACAAAAGTAGTATCAAAGCCACAAGGTTTAAGATTAATTAATTGAAACTCGATGAAATAACCAATAAGAAAAATTATAAGAAGGCTTTAATAATTTTTTAAAAAATAAAGCTAACTCAAAGTAATAATTATTATACGTTTAGGCATAGTGATAGACCCGAAAACATAGAAGAAGAGAATCTGATAGAAACTGAAATACAACCTACTATTAATATGAACAATAATGTCCTCACCTAAATGATGACAGCGATGACTCAGTTGATTTAAGAGTCTAGATTGCAGTCTTTCGAAAATGATATTGTCGCTGTAAATAAGTATATGAAGATATATCAAGATCTGCGTCTACCTTTGCTCAAAGGAACTGAAGAACCTATTGAAGCAAAGAACCGGCTAATGATGATGGAGAAGATACTGGTAAACATGGCTTGTTCGAATGAAAGAAGGGTATCGTTGACGACGTTTATGCTGGATGGAAAAGCCGAAAGGTGGTGGCGTAGGCAAAGTTATAAGAAATTAGGGGATATACCCAACACAATGATAAATTGGGAAAAATTGAAGCTGAGCAGCAAACGCACGCCGAGAAGCTCGCTCGTGCAGAGGAGGTGGAATCGCAAGTCTTTCGCTGAGAATGAAAAGCAAGGAAGGAGAAGAGCGACATCCTACACGCTCTAATGGAGTGAGCCGCTCAAAGGAAATGGGACACGGCTCGTTTAAGAAGAAAAGAAGAGTGTGAAGGGGTCATGTGAAATATAATAATAATAATAAATAATATATATTTATTTATTTATTTAATAGAAAGTAAAGCATATTAGATAAAAAATTTAGTATTTAATTAAATGGTTTATTAAAATAATAAATTAATTAAATATCATGTTATGTTAGATTTGAAACTTAGAAGAGGCGATATCAAGGAAATTTCTAGTATAATTTAATCATCAACAAGATGAGTACTTTTACTTCTAAATTATGATAATAATATTGTATTTTTTCTATATCAGTCGCATTAACATATCAATAATCATGATATCTTGTTACTATAACTAGATTATGATTATTCTGACTTATTATTTAATTTGATCATTTAGAAATGAACATGAATGATTTGCATAGTATACTTATTTATCACACTTGCATGTTATAAAAGAAAGATATTGGATGACATTTAGAATGTAAACAAATAATTTATTGTATGTTTATACATGCATGTTTGGCTAAGATGGAGCACCCCTTAATGGCAATAAGGAAAAAATTAATGTACCCGTACATGTAAATTAAAAAAAAATATTGATATTGAAATATCATAAGTGATACAATTCTAGACAGCGCTCTTGTGAAGGTTATATAGAATATAAAAATAAAGATATTGATATAATATTGATATAGACGGTTTGAATTGCGAGTTAAATATTTATATTCATTTATAAGGAAGCTAAGCCGACATGTATATTGTTCTTTTTCTTTTGTTGTAGTTTAGAAGTATGATTATTAACTGACTTGTTTAACTTATTATTATCTTCAACTAACATTTCATGTTAATTAAGCGATTAAAGATGAACGATAAAAGAAAAAATATTTATAGAATATGCTGACAACTAGCAATGAGGTGAATTTAAATATATTGCTTTAGTTGATTAGTGACTCTTTCATTTTTAAAATGTTAATTAGAAAAAATAATATAAAAAACTTAATTATCGTCGTTCGACCGTCTGTACCCGTCTAGGTTAATTCTAAGCTCTGGGCTGGGTCGTGGTATATGTAAAGAGTATACAAGAAAAGTAAAGTTAAAGTAAATGCATATAAAATATTTAAGTATTTTTATTGAATAAGATAGTTCATACATGCATTAGTATATTAAAAAATTTCTTATAAAAATATGAAGGATTAGAATACTCCAAAAATTTTTATAGAGATATAAAAGACTAGTATGTATATTGAATTGTTTTACTAGGGCTATTGTAATTTAAAATTATGATTACTCCTGAGTTTTCTTCAGATAACTCATTAAATTGTTTAAATATATTTTTTAGGTTTTAAGCAATGAAAAAAAAGAATAGAAGAGGAATAAATGTGTATAAAAGGCGAGAATAATAATCGGAAAGGTAAAAATTTCAAATTCTTAATTAAATTATTTTTTTAGTAGCTCTTTCATGAATTTTTTAATATTAATTAATTAGTGATAGAAATATAATAACCGAAAATTTATTTCCGCTATTCCACCATATATTCCCGTCTTGATTAATTCCAAGCCCCGACCCAGTTCGTGGCAAATAGAACATAACCAACATATTCCTAATTATTTCAACTTCTGTCAACATTGCTCTGTTTCATATACTGAAACAGTAACTACACTTAACTTTTCTTTTCAATTTCTATTATTCTAAAGGTTAAGCAATTTGGTGATTTTGATCAGCTACATTTTGGAATATTAATAGCACTTGGTAGTAGACAAGTCATTCATAACTGAACAGGAATTATAAGTAATTCAGGTGGCAAGATCGAATCAATCAATGAAGATAATAGTAATGAATGACGCATAACAAAAAGGCCTTGAGGAAGGTTTCAACAAACAACTAGAAAGGATACAACTTCAACAAGTAAGATATCATAAAAATGATATGCATACCGCAAAGACCTCCACACCAAGAGATTGGGATGGAGAAGGCAGACCTCGACTGCTTGAAAAGATGTAATGTCCTTGTAATAGATCGGCCGCATCCTTGAATAACATGAAAAGTTTTAATAAAGAACATTCAAATTCAATATAAATGTTTAACATATTAACAATGACAAAAATTGTATGAAAACATAAGCTAAGCATATGTGCAGAATGCCATACAAATGTGCATGGCATGCATCAGATAACGGCAAAAACTAATTTAATAAACACAAAAATCACGTCGACCCATTCTCAATATCAGGCAATCCAATGAGAATGAATGAGTTTTTTCAAATGACATTTTTCACATGCAACAGTAATAAAGGCGTTAAGAAAAACATCAAAGCTGCTATAATATATTTAATTACCAAAAGTGAAATTCTGTAGCATCCAAGTGAATCAGAAGTATTTTAATCATAAATTTCACATGAAGCAGCGCATCAAATGCTAAACTGGTTTAAATAATTGGCAACCCCAAACTCTGAATAGATAGTGCAACCCGTACACATCATTCCTAAGTAGTTAGCAAAGTGACAAGGAGTTTCAAGTGTGTAGATAATGATGGAAATTCAAGCTGTTTGTGTTGACATTTTAGGTTGTTTTCTCCCATGATTTTTTGTCAGGCATTGATGTGTGTTATCCATTACCTAGTACTTTTGAGCATATGAACCGTGTCAGCAGCTTATGAATATGTAAACTGTCCAGTAAAAAGCATCCAGTTGTAAAAGTTGAAATTTGCATGTTCTGCCTTTTTTTACAGCAACAAATTTTCATTATTAGTCAGCGGAGAGGTTAGATTTACATACAAGTATGAAGGATTGTCATCATAAAAGTCAAAAAATAAAATACATTGGGATACTCTTACATTAAAAGTGAGAAAGTAAGTTCAATATTATGATGAAGAATGGAACCTTAATTAGACAAAACTAGCTTTTGTTAAGTCTAGAATACCAAAGGCATCTGACAGACTATTATATCAGTTTGAAATTTAGTAAAACCTAGGGAAGTGAAGAATAACTTTATTTCCTGATTACTGCCACTTTTGGAAAACATGATTGGACTTGGAAAGCTTAATATACTCCTAAGATTGTTATTTACTGAATAATCATTAACTTCAAAGTGAACATGATTGACAAGAGGTATCATTATTGAAATTTCAACAATGGTAATGAAAATCGGAGTAGAAGTGGTGCCATTAATAGGCAAGCGGATAAAAATCCCAGAAATAGCTCTTGAATAGGCAGCAATCCTGATAGCCATATTTCAATAAACTATACGATGTTCCGGAGCATGAGAGCAGTCATAAACATGCTTTAAAAAAATGGGAAATAAAATAATAAAATAAAATAAAATAATATGAAAAGGTGGTGACCATTTTAACAAACATGTCGAGACAGTTATGCATTTAGAAGTTAAGAGAGGGGGCGGCTGAGAATGGAACACTCGAAATAAAGAAACATTGGAGGAGGGAGAAAACAACTGAGGCACAGAGAACCAGAGAATGTCAGAGGCAAGGCGTGAGAGAAGAAAAAGAAAGAGAAGAAGAGACGGGTCGCACCATTGTTCGTACAAGAAGGCATCAAAGCCAAAGGAGATGAATCGTACCTTGCATGTGCTGTAATAACGAAAATATGAAAAATAATGAATAAACAACTAAATAAATTATCAAATCGAAATAACTGTAGAGCGGTTAATTTAAGTGAAGTCAAAGGAGAGGTCGAACATGGTCAAAATCTTCGTATTAGCAGAGAGAACGAGAGTTCAAGAAAGAGCGTGTAATCATGCCCTAACCGAGCAAAGAGAAAGGAAGAAGAAGAAGAGGAAGAACCGCAACATTGGTCGAGGAGTTTAGCATCAGATGACATTGTCGTGCCATGTGTTTTGTCTGCGAGTGAAGGAAGACAAAAGGAGAAGAAGAAGTTGAAGGAGGAAGGTTCATGTGGTTTTTCCTTGACGTGCGATACTTACATCGCTCGATCGGCCACAAGAAGTAGAAGAGGGAGAAGATCATCTCATCGTGTGGTGTTGAAGTCGAAGTCAATGCTGTGTTGTGTTGGCATTCGTGAAGGAGGACCAAACGACGCCAAAGCAATAAAGAGGAGCAAGCGTTGTATGCATGCAGTGTTGGGTTAAGCCATGATCGAAAGAAGTCGAAGAAGGGAAGCTCGTGCGTGCGGGGAGGGGAGTTTGTGTGCGCAGTTCCTGACTTGGTTAATTCTAAGTTATCAAACCGGGTCGTGACATCCGCAACCCTAACCAAAGCCATATGCGATTGTTGTTGTGATAGCGATGCAGTGAAAGGGGGAGAAGCCTCATGCAAAGAGGAAGAAGAGAGACAACTTTGTGAGGACTTCATGTGTGAGAACATGGGAGCAAGTGCAATGAGGCGCAACGTGTCTCTCGTGTGAATGAAGGAAAAAATTTGGGTACATAAGAGGCACGCAGCGCACCGGAAGACACGTCGGTTTCGTCTTTCGTCGGCCCCACCGCTATAAAAATATACCTCTTACTGTGCGTGACCCGTCGACCCGACCCGTCATTGTAATCTCCATGTAAGCCCGATGTAAACTCAGTTGTCCGCCCCATGTACCGTGCTTGTAAGCCCCATGTAATCCCGATGTAAACTCCGTTGTCCGCCCCATGTACCGCGCTTGTAACCATGTCTATGTACTGCTCTTGTAAGCCCCATGTAATCCCGATGTAACCTCCGCTGTCCACAAAGGATGTAATCCCGGTGTACGTACCACGGACGTTCCGCGGAAACGCCACAACGCCACTGTAATCCGCGTGTACCATCGTTGTACATCCGGTGTAACTTCCGAATGCGCATGTACACCGGATGTAATCCAAGTGTACTTCCGCGGTAACGTCCATGTAGCCTCGCGGTAAGGCATCAGATGTACACTTGATGTACAATACGTGTAACGCCAATGTAACCTCCGCTGATTGTAACACGCGTGTAAACCGAATATAATGTCCATGTACACTCGAAATGCGCTTGTAACCCGGATGTAATGTCCAAGTAACTCCTTATAACTTATTTACGATGGTAAATAATTTAAAAAAAAACACTGTAAGAATTCACATTCGAAAGAAGGGATTCGCGCCGCTAGGGTTCCTCCATCGTGCTCATTTTGAAGGTTAGGGTTTCGTTACTGTGAGGGGTTACACGCTTAATGGAGGATAAGAAGAGTACGAGGACCTTGGAAGAGACCACTGGTGCGAATTTGGGAGAGGGGAACCAACCCGGACGCGAGCAGGCAACTGTTACAGTGAAGTCCGGCCGCAAACAGTCCAAAAATGGAGAGAGTAATCCCGTTTCCAGGTATTTCTTAGTTTGTTGTAGTTGTTTTCTTTTGAATGGTGAAATCTTGTTCACGGTTAAGAAGCACAAGAATGAAATGTCTAACAAGTATTTGATTATTGTGCATGGTTCTACACCAATTTTAATAAATTATTTTAGGTTTAAGATTCAACCTAAAATTATAAAACCTAAAATAAGTTATAAACCTAAAATAATTCATTTTCTAAAATTATTTTAGGTTTGCTGTGAAATGAATTTTAAAGCTATCCCTAATATTGCCAACTAGATTTTATTAAACTTCTCGCATGTATCGTTGTAGGCTCCTGAACCCAAAAGCAATTAGTTGCAGATGTCGTCCATCTACAGTACGAGAGGTTCTCGATAATGTCCGACCAAAAGTCGATAAGGACACATGGCATAAATTAGAATCTTTGAGTCTAGCGCAATTTTTTGAACTCCCTATGTACCCCCAGGACAATATTTTGACGATGCACATAATTAATTGCTGGGACATTGATCAAATGACATTCATTTTGGGAGAGACAGAGGTTAAATTTGTTCCTGATGAGGTTGCATTACTGCTAGGTATGCCCAACAGAGGATTACCTGCATGTTGGACATTTGCACCGCCTGATACAATGGATGCAAGACAAATTAAGACTGTCCTGCTCAACTTCTCACCAGGGGAGTCATCTCACAACCTTCTACAATTAATAATCAAATTTTTAATTTCAAATTTGTTTTTTCCTTCAAGCAATTTTAGAGTTTCGAAAGAATTGTCTTCTATTTGCGAGAATGTAGATATTTTTGCAGCATACAACTGGCCAGCTACATTATGTGCATTTCTGCAGACGCAACTTAATGTTTGCGTAACTAAAATTAAAAAGGACCAACCTGTGGGTTACATCAACGGTTTTGTATTTCTTCTATCGGTTTGTGTTCCACCAATACATTTTGAAATCTCAGCTGCAATTGTCAATTTACAAATAACTCGTAATGTTTAACGCA